TTTTCTACATCAATTGTTGTAAGGTGCATTTGACGATCATTTATAGTTGAAAATTGAAAGAATTCTAATGAATCCATATTTGAAGGTAGTTCAACAACTTTTATTTGATTTGAAAAAAAATTAAAAAAATTAAACACAAATAATTAATAAAAAAAATCCATTTAAAATAAATCAGCTCAATTTACCCTTATTAGCAGTGTTTCCCATATTTGAACAAAAATAAACATAGGCTTTAAATACATCATTTGGAGTTAAATCTTTATTCTTTGAACGTTTTTGCTCTTCTGGGCATTCATTATCACTGTCAGCATCTTTTTTTGAATTATCATCTTCTTCATCTTCATCTTCATCAGAGAGAGAGAGAGATAGAGAGAGAGAGAGAGAGTCTTCATCATCATTGTCATTTTTTTCACCTGTGCCATTTTCACCATTACTAGATGATGTTGTTGATTTTTCTTTCACAAATACTACAATACAAGAACCATCAGGTGTGCTTGAAATATTTGTAGAATCTGGAGGAAATTGTAATGTTGAAGGACGAAATTGACTAGTTATAAGATTATAAATTTTTGCTCTACCATTTGTTTCCACAAAACATAATTCTTCAGTGTTTTTTATAAAGAAAAAATATTTAATATCTGGTGCTGAATTATTATAATATTGTAGAATTTGAATATTGGGGTTGCGACCATAAAGACTGACTTGATTTTCATCAAATGCATAAACATTTAGCTAAATTTTGTAGTAAATAATAACAAGTTATATATATTACTTATGATTTAATCATTATAATGGATAAATACAAAAAAAAAAAAAAAACAATTTACCACTCCTCTTTCAGCAACATAAATCCCAATTAAGCCTTTGGGCTCATTTATAGCAAAAAGACAATCACCATCAGGATTTAAAGTTTTTAATGGTTTTAAATTTGATAATTGAAAAGTTGATTTTAAATGATTAGAATTTTCGAAAAAAATTTCTATTTGATTTGATTTTTTATTCCGAAGTATTATTAGGAGCTTTCCATTTTCAAACTGGGATATTTTTCTAAAAAATATTGCTTTATTAGTTTAATTCTGTAATTTTTATCAAAAATATTGGATAATTGATTACCTGAGTTCATATATTTCTGGATCTATTTTGAAGGAAGCGTGTGAATTCTTATTGCTGTCAAGATGAGGTTTTGGAACATATAACTCATTTCCTTGAAGATTTAATTTTTCAGATCCATCTAGGCCTGTTTCATATAATGTAACCTTTAGTTGATCAGGTTGTAATGATTCAATTTCATAAGTAAGTTTTAAATCCCTATAATATGTTGTTTCTAATTAAAGGTAAATTTTTGTTAATGAGTTTCAATCAACAACAAAAGATTAATAGCTTAATTAGAATTACCTTTAGCTTCTATAATTTTAAAAATTGGTCTGTAATTTAAAAATAAAGATATTAAAAAACTTTCATAGCATAAAAAGTCATTTTGAAAGTGATGTAATTACCCATCTGAAAATTTTTCTTCAAGTAGTAGGCAAATTCTTGTGAATTCATGTTTTTCTATTACTTTAATTCTTTGTGATAATTCCTTGTTTAATTTTTCTTCATAATGTGTTCTAATATTTGTATATTTTGGTACTATATTTTTGATATTCTCAGAAAAGGTTTCCCTCCATTTTTTAAATGCATTAAGAAAAGAACCAATGATTGTATTCCTCATTTTTTGTGAAATATTAAATAATTCAGAATTATAAAGTTCATTAACAAATTCAGAGTCAGATACTTGATTTACCATTTGCTCTGCTTTTCGAA